CTACAAAGCAAAAGTATGTTTCGAAGTCGATTTTTTAAACAGAAAGTGGAAAAACTGCTGCAAAAAAAAAGGATAATAAAGGCATATCCTTTGATATCTAATCATTCCGAAATATTTTTATCAATTTCACGCTGCTCTGCGGGGGAAGGGAAACGACGCGCAATGAATTAGAAGTTGATCTGTCAGCACCATCCTTATCTTCAGGGCAGATGTTTTATTTTATTTGGCTTATAATTCCTTACTAAATGTAGTATTTCATATCGATATACTCCGTCTTTGATACGATTTATATCAAGTTCCTCGTCATTATAATTCGCTTCCGATAGTGAAGAAAGTGACACAGAGGTTATTGAAAACAAAAAAATTTCAATTGACAAATTAGTCAGTATTCTCGGCACAGCAATTATAGGACTTGAACAGCGGAACTTTGTAAATGAACAAGAAATTAGGTCTCTTTAATAGTAAAGAGAAAGTATTATCACATGAAACAAAGCAATTTAAATAACTTACATTGAAAGAAATGTTTAATAAAGTAAACAAATAAATATTAAGCCTTTTCTTTTTGTAAATTTTGATACCCTTTAGATCATAATTGTTCTTTATTTCATAAATTATGGTTTCATATTTTAATTTTATAATTTCTGCCTGCCATCTTACCAGATTTAAACTGATTATCTATAATCCGGAATTGCCGAAGTCCCGACAAGTCTGGATTAACAACTTTTGACTGTATATACTTAGCACACTTTGTACCGCAATTTCCGGAAGAAAGGCCGCATCAGCGTAAACGGCGCACTCGAGAAAAATGGCGGGGAAAAAATTAAAATTACACAGAAACGCCGCAATAGATTAAATTGTGCGTGTCATCGTCGTGGGTCGTATAGATGCAAAAACTCAACCTAAGTTCTGATATATGACATACCAGTTAAGAAAAATGCATGAAATGAAACCATAACTCAAAAATAAATTAAAGGTAAGCTTCTGTGCCATTTTTTTTAGAACATTTTCAAAAATTTCCGCTCCCTAATTAAAAAAACTATCCAACAAGTACTTGTACCCAAAACTGATGGGATCTGATTGGCAGAATGCCAAGAAAAAAAGAAAAACCATTCATGCTGAAGGGGAAATACGTTAGAGTTCATTATTTCGAGGCAGGTGGTGGAGTCGTGTCCGCCTTTGAAAAAAATTGCAGAAAAGGTAGGGGTGGGGGAGAGGATGGGTCCTGGAAGATTCATCGAATGGGCAGGGAGGAGAGAGACTATTGAAACTGATTGAGAATGTTGATTTGAAAGGGGGAAGAATGTTTGTTATTTGTTCTGAGATCTCGTTTAGGGTGAATAAGGCATGTAGGTCGGTTCAAGGGAAAGAATGTAAACAAAATAACGTTCGCAAAAAGCAACTGAGTGGTCTTTTGTGTGGGAACTGCACCAGTCTATGCACAATGACAGGCCATCCAAACTATGTACAATGACCATCATAGGAAATATTTTATTTTTAGTGCACCTAAACGCCGCATGGGTAGAAACGCTGCACCCGCTGAAAATTTAAGTTTTAAACACGTAAATGCCGCGGCGTTTCTTCCGGAAATTACGGTACTTTTGTATAAAAACAAACAGTGCTAATTAACGAAGACGAATTCTCTTATACATTGTATATTCAAATAAATAAAATATATTGCTGTGATGATAAAAATTATATATATACATACATATATAAGCAGCTAAAGAATGCACATCTAACAAATTTTGTTTTTAAATGTTCCAATATTTGTTACTGAAATCATTTATACATCAAGAAAAATTAAAAATTTTATACAGTAAAGAGTAAGTTTTGAAAAACCAAAGCATGTTATTAATGCTTAAGGGAAAAGTCATATTTCATTGGCAGGATATTCGTTGCCAAGCACATAATATAACTGAGCACTGCCAGTTAGTTTACTTGAGGTTTGATGGCATGCAAGCTGGTAGGGTTTTCCTTGTGGCATGACTGTGAGTTATTTTCGTTAGAAATTTTTCTATGATTGAATTTCTTCTAGAGCAGATGTCATCACGTTTTTCTATAATTAACCATTGATAATTTTGTTATTTGCCATGTTGAACTTTATCTTTTTGGGAATAATTTCTCTGTAAAGTACTAGTAAAATATGTTCGAATGCTTTTAATAACATAATACAATACATAATACAAATCATTGTTCTTCAGAAATATGTTTTACAGTATTTTTCGGTAATCAAATTGAAAGAGGAAACACGCCAGTGTAAAATTCAAAATTTGGCATATTTAGTTTAATAAGACTAACTATTTTAAGGGTATCAAACCCCTTCAAAAATCATTCTGCTAATAAGAGGAAGTTTCTAATTGCCCTCAAAACTGAATGTACAAAAATCTTTACCCCCTTTTTTTGCTAGCCTTTAATTTTTCCACAAACTTGCATGATATTGTTCTGTTTATAATGCATTATTGCACTGAACAACAATACACTCAATCCTCTTACCTTATAAAGTTTAGGCACCGCAATTAAAAGTCTGTTTTAGGACATGCAAGTAAAAAACTATTTCAGATGTCAGTACTACTTATGCTAAGAATTCAAAATGTTTAAAAGAAAACTTTCCACAGAACATCTCAATTTCTTTCCAAGCAAAGATCACATGTATTATTTCTATAGTAAAACCAAGCTTCTCTTTATCTAACCTCATAAAATATGATACCACTAAATGAAGTCATTTTTAAAGAGTTTTATTTAATTTGTTTTCTCTGATGTTTGTTTGGGTCAAACCTTCAAAATAAAATTTTATCTTGGAATTTTCACATATACATATCCATATTAATAAAGAAGTATTTAAAGGAAATGTTTGCAATTAAATTAATCTTGCATAGCCTTGTTTAACAGTAAAACTAATCAGTACAGTTGTTTTATCTTTATTCTAAGAAGAAAAATATATAAGAAAAATAATGTTCCAAATGGGAAATTTTCAGTATTTGATAATTTTTTTTTAAAACTATTTTTCAAACTAATATTTTTTAGTGCTATTACAATTGCTAAGAGCGATGTATTTATTCCATTATTGTTAGCAGCCTTCTTATTTTAAGATATAACAAGATAAGATTTCTCAATTAATGGGGAATTAAATGCTGAATGCAAAAGTGTGTCATGGCTCCCAACAAATGTGACACCTGCCATACTGATTAAAATGAATAATTCTTTTGCATTGAACTGTAGGGATTTTCTCTTTTTTATTGTCTCCTGCCCACACATTCTACAGGTTGAAGTATATAAAATAAAATGGACAAGCAACTTTTTATATTAAATGACTTTATATAAAGTCAATATATGTTAAATGAAACAAGAAATAAAAAATGTTTAGCTGTAATTACATTCTTGATCACATATGACTTTTAAAAAGTGTTTTCACATATATTTCATTTTTAGTTACTAGCGAATATGAATAAGAATGCATTTTAAAACATAATAATTAAGCTTTGAAAATTAAATATGGGAATAAGGAAGATACAATCCGCATTTAGGGAAGATAATTCACATCATTAACAATTTTAACATTTCATAAAAAAAAAAAAAAAAAAAAAGAAAGAAAGAAAGAAAGAAAGTTGCCAATAAATAAATAAAAATCAAATGTGATAACTCTACAAAAGAAAAAAAGGTGAAAATACTGCATGCAGTTGTCATTTATATTGTGACCAATTATGAAGATGGATCCCCCCCCCCTATGCTTCCAGGTTGCATTTAAAGCCATTTTCTTTGATGCATAAGAAGAAACAGCGAGAGGAGGGGGCAACACCTGATTAACTTTCTAAATCTAATAAAGTTTTTGTTTCATATAATATTCAATACTGCCTAGCAGCTGAGCTAGACTGGAGAAAGAGAAAGTAGCAATGGAACAGTAAACTTAAATTTCTTAGAGTAAGCATAATAAGTATACACATCACTTTAAATAATCACACCAGCAATGATTGCTTGTGAGGCATTTCAGTGAGCCAGACAATGAAAAAAATGCAAATCATTTCATATTTTAGAACTATAAAGCAAGTTTGAGGAGGATATCTGACTTAAGATTATCAAAAAGGAAATCACAGAAAAAATAACTTCAATGTAATTTTAAAATCAAACATTGAATTACTTAAAACAGATCAAATAGCTTTAATTAGATTAAAATTTAGTTTATTAAGACAAGTTAACATTACATTTTAATGGATTTGTCAGTAGGAATTATTCAACATGACTTATCAAAATTCCTTTGCATATGCATCAAATGTAATAGGGCACAAACAGGTTTTGAAAGACACTAACAATCACAATATTGTATTCTTCTCTTCCAGTATATTTAAATAAACTGTGGGGGAAAAAAAAAAATAAGACATCAGGGAGGTGTCTCCCAGCCATAAAAAGGAAAAGCATTCCCAAAATAAATAAGAAAGAAATCAAGAAAATGCACAGCAGAAATCACATTTCAAATAACATTATTATGCAATTAATCTTATAAATGTATTTGTGTCCTTTTTTTCTCATTGATGCAGACCTTCTAAAAGCCATCATTTGCTTAAGTGTCAGATAATGTAAAAAAGAATGAAAAATACTATAAATCTTTATGTTATCAATGGCAAACTATGTTTAACTTTCTTAAATAAAACTTATTTATTTCAAACAGTATATAAGTGGTAACATCTGCTTCAACCCATTTTGAAAATTGAAGACCAGATAAGATAGAATAATTAGGATATTCTAACTGCAGTTCTGACTCTGCAAATTATCATGCATTACACAATGCAGTTATTTAAATAAACCAATTAAACCTTTCTGCAAACAATATCAAATATTTTTGTTATTAAATCCATATGACTCCAAATAATAGAAAAACATGTTAGACACTTTATGATAATAATATAATAAAATTCCCACATAACGAATTTATTATTCACATTAAAGCAACAAGAAGTTATACATCTTTTCTGTAGAGGGTAAGACTTCAAAGAAAAATTCCATACCTAAATTTCGAACTTTAGAATTAAATGCATTTGCAATTTTTCGAACAGGAGAATTCTCTTGTTCCACCTCTTGCAGCTGAAAAATAAAATGATAATCTTAAAAAAAATTTTGGCAATAAAATTCTAAATGTTTCAAAAATTCATTCAGACATTTGAAATGTTTTAGAGAAATTTTCTGATGAAGATAAAAAATGCAGGCAAAATGAAAAATACGTTTGTTCATACAAACTGAAGAGCAAAATCTTTAGACTTGCCGGTATTTATATTTTCAGCAGCTTATAATATTCATAAAAAGTATTTGCAGTATTTCTATTGAAGTTCAACCTTCCGTTTTTATGATCGAGCAATATCTTTGATTAAAATAATGAACTAGTTAGAAAATTAAATGCGAATAGCAGAATATTTCTATACATTTAATGTGAGGTAGCTCAAAAATCCAGTTCATCGAAACCATTAAAAAAAAGGGGGGGGAGAGACTGTTCATTTTGAAGTTAGGTATACTCAGCAAACTTACATACTTGGCAACTGATGGGGCAAGTACATTTTGAGAATTTATGATAATACATCATTCACAATAAATGATTCTTTTGGTGTTCAGTGTGAAACAGAGGAACTAAGGACAGCACTAGATTACTACATTTATTATAACAGACAACCTCCTTGTTTAATGACTTCTTAATTAAGTTATATGTTTCCAAAGAAAAATGAAGTACATTATAAGGTATTTCTCCCGCTTTCCTAGCGTGCTTTCGTGGTATAGTGGTTCTGCATGCTGGGCCGGTATTCCAGAGGTCCGTTCGATTACCAGCGAAGGTGGTTGCTATTTTTCATGTTTCTTGCTTCCAAAAAATCCTAATATCTCTACAGTGGTGCTCAAACTAAAATGGGTGTTTGATAAGGTTTCTCCGCACCCAGAATTTGGCGATTGGGTCCCCTAAAAACCCCAATTGCCCTTTAAAAAGGGGAGTATATAAGGTATTTCTCCCACTTTCCTAGCGTGCCTTTGTGGTGTAGTGGTTCTACACACTGGGCCGGTATTCCAGAGGTCCATGGTTCGATTCCTGGCAAAGGCGGTTGTTATTTTTCATCTTCCAAAAAATCCTAATATCTCTACATTTCTAAAAAGGAGGGGCTAACAAAAGTACATTTCTAAAGAGAAGGGTGAACAGCTTACTCACAGGTACAAAAGAGAAGCAATGTGCTCATAAATAATTGTGTCAGTTCTGAAGAGGATGAAACACTTCATGCAAGCAAGAAAAAGATTACAATAACTCTTTGTTTTCGTTTCTAGAGAGATAAATTTTGTTTATTGGTTGCAATTTTACACATATTTAGGTCACTGGCCTTTTGTAACATGCTCTGATTTTTTCTGAAATTACTTTTCCCTCATTACTATTTCATTGTCTTTTCAAAATCTTTGGGCTGATTGGGAATCCTTAGTTTGATCAAATTAGTTAAATCATTATTTTTACAAAAAGGAAAATAATTACTTTGATAACATATTTGTATTTCAATATGAGAAAAAAGAACAATTTTTTATTTTAAATTCTCTCTCTTAATTTTCCCAGAATTTGTTTAACTGATAAATTTCTTAAACCCTTAATTGTCATGAATGTGCCAAGATAATCGAAGTCAACAAAAGATGTGCGAGTATTGAGGGAGTTTTGAGCTCAGTGATGATTGCATTTACAGGTAATCATTTAGGTTTAAAACGTGTTGGCAGCTGTGCAAGTAAACGAATCCACACCTTGACATTTTCCGCTTATGAAAAAGAAATTTCTAAAGTATACCCTTTTTCATCTTTATTTGACAGATTTTGACTAATTACATTAAAGAAAATACTTATATTTTGACCAGGACTAATAAGAATAAAAAGTACAAAATTAATTGCATAAAAATACTTTAAAATAAAATTATGAAACAATCAGTTTTTAAATTTTCTCTTAATTTTTAACAGATAAAAACTCTGCACAAATTGGACATTTTTATGCTATTCCCATTTAACAGCTTTTCAGCAGCCTCTAGGAATCCATAAAATTGAGAGCACCATTATCTGCTAAGAATCTTATTTGATTTAAAATTCGAACTGATGCATACATATTACAATTTAAACAATCTGAAATTTTTTTTATTAAAAATAAAAATATATGATTTAAAACAATAAGCATTAAAATACTGACAGAATTTCATATTAGTCTTTGTAAAGACATGCTTTATGAATTTTTTAAAAACCATATGGCAATGCAATGTTTTTTGTTATCAAGCCCCCCAATACATTAGAATAACAGTGAAAGAAAAACAAATCCTCGATTCTCGTCGCCAAAACTCAAAAGTCACATGATAACTAAAAATAAACTGCGCTCGTACTTGCAGCACCATCTGCATCAACTTAAATTTAACAATAACACAATCAGTTTGTTTTTCCCAATTTATATAACTCTTACCTTCCAATTCCATCATGGCAAGCATTGTATAGAATTCCTAAGACCTTGTCAGCAGAAAGAGTTATTTTTAGTTTCAGCATAGTCAAAATTTATTATTCTATCTGTGGAAAAAACCCTATTGCTCTTTTTACCATCAATGGTAACTTTTTTACTCTCAGGTATTAAGAAAGACCAGCATTACGAAATTCACTACAATTTTCACAACTATTTTTCAGATTCTTAAATAGGAAACAAATTACGTTGACTCATTTCTTCAATAATATCAAGTATAACAACCAATTTTATTAAATACAGCATAAAACATTTTCAAATAAGAATTAAGCAACTCCTCATCAAACCTGCCTGTTCATATTTTAACCCTTAAGGAAATTTTTGCAATTTCTGCTCATTTATAGATTAAAATAAAACATCCCATCATTCCATCTAGAAATAAAATTTCTTCTCTTTTCAACAACAACAACAACAAAAAAAAAAAAAAAAAAAAAAAAAAAAAAAAAAAAAAGGTTAAAATCAATTATGATTATTTTTGAATAAAAATTTGATGCAGCATTGGACTGGCTGTTTAATGGACCAGAATACAACTCTGGTGTGTTAGCTATGAAGAAGTGCAGATTTAAATTCTGGTGACTACTTTTTGTGGGGATATATCAAGGATCAAATTTTCCTTTTCCTCACTTTTCTGAAGTTTGGTTGACCTTACAATATATCATAGCAGATACTACAACTCTTAATTTTCACATGTTGACACATATTTGGGAAAATATTATTACATTAATATATTATGTTATAAAAATGTACACATACAGGATGTCTGTAATTCATCCATGTAAACTTCATGACATATTCTTCTAACAAATGTAATTTTAGCTGTGCTATGAAAATTCTTACTTCTCCAAAACTTTGAAAAGTGTCTATTTCTTTAGGCAAATCCTGTATTAACACTGCTTCTTGATATCAAAGATATGAGAAATAGCAAAAAGAATCATAAAAATCAGTCAGATCAAAAATATAAGTTTTTCAGAAAAATGGAAAAGTTTCATATTAAGAAATAAAAGTAAACAGAAGTGTACCTTTCTACGAGATGTGCGCTTTATTGGTACCTTAAATTCTTCATCTTCCTGTTTCTAAAAAATATATAACTCAACATGTCAATTTTTTTGGTCAGATTTCAAGATATACATATATATATTAAATTCTTGAAACTTCAAAAATCTGTTAAAAATTTCAGTCTTACCCTTTTGCGTGGTATTTTAGAAGGCAGTTTTCCTGTATCAGAGACCTGTATTAAAAAAGAGAGAAAAAAAGAATTAACAAAATGCATAAACACTAGCATAAAAGTACAGTTGAAATGCAGGCAAATTCTATTTCAATCCAGAAACATTTAGCTTATTTACAATTGAAAAGCAAATGTGACATGCATCTGATAATCGCAAAATGTGCCATTTTCAGATGTCTTCCACTTTTCAGCTAGCTACTTATTCAATCTAATTTGTAATTTAGAAAAAACATAGCTTATTTACATCTTTAGACTCTGATTCAGCATTTTTAAAATAGGCACAGATATTATGCCTAAGTTACATTAAATGTCTAAAATAACAGATGAAAACTGCTAAAAAGAAAATTTAAAACATATACAGCCAAAAGTCGTTAATTCGGACACCCATAATCTGGAATGATCTATAATTCGGACCTCAAAGCTACAAACTTTCTGCGCATGCGTCGCGTTCACGCATGCGCACAGGCGTTTAAGAGTGCGCGTAAGACTTTACGGCTGCGAATATGTTTGTGCGCATGCGTGTTTAATGTTTAATGGAGGTATAAGCTAAGCTAAAATTATCTAATTCAGTTAATGTTGCAGATTGCGTTGTTCCTTAATCTTCGAATTGGATCCGGCTTATTATTTTTTGCAGACTGTTAGAGCAATTTCATAAAAGTAAGCTTGAACTTTCGATTATGTCGAATAGAATTTCCGATATATATTTACTAATATGTAATTTGTATCTACAAAGCGAGAGTATGTTTTGAAATCCGAAATCTGTTTATCAATTTCACGCCGCGGATTGGAAGTTGATCTGTCAGCACTATCCTTATCTTCAGGGCAGATGTTTTTATTTTATTTGGCTTATATTCCTTACTAAGTATAGTATTGGCGTCTTTGATATGATTTAAATCAAGTTCCTCGTCATTATAATTCGCTTCCGATAAGTGAAGAAAGTGACCCAGAGGTTATTGAAAACGAAAACATTTCGATTGACAAATTAGTCGGTATTCTCAACACAGCAAATTATAGGACTTGAACAGCGGAACTTTGCAACTAAACAAGAAATTATGTCTGTTTAATAGAATTAAAGAGAAAGTATTATCACATGAAACGAAGCAACTTACATTGAAAGAAATGTTTAATAAAGTAAACAAATAAATATTAAGCTTTTTCTTTTTGTAAATTTTGATACCCTTTAGATCATAATTGTTCTTTATTTCATAAATTACAGTTTCATATTTTTAATTTTGTAATTTCTGCATGCCATCCTACCAGATTTAAACTGATGATCTATAATCCGGAATCGCCGAAGTCCCGACGAGTCCGGATTAACGACTTTTGACTGTATCTTGCAGCTCTCTCACTGAATTTGATTCACAATGTATTTGCTTGCAACAAAAATAATGAATCCCTATTAAATGGTCTGCTTAAAATTACAAAATATGTAGATGTAGCATGTTATATTACCTAGTTTAAGATTAATTAGAAAATATACTTTTAAGTTCTTTTTCACTGATACTTTGAAGATAATTTTCAATTAGAAATTTCCATATTCTTAAACAACAGCATGCCACAATGGATTAAAATGTACTTTTTATTGCTCTTTCCCACATTAAATATTCTGCAACTTCTTCAAGCAAAGGTTGCTAATAAATCAGCTAGTAATCTAAGCCAACTGTTGCAGAGACAGGGTTCATACACATTTCCTTACATGAAAATTAAGGACTTTTAAGGACCATCAAAGAAAAAATTAAGGACCTATCAGCAAACAACAAAAAAAAAAAAAAAAAAAAAAAAAAAAAAAAAAAAAAAAAAAACGAATAGAATAAAGCAATTATCCATACAACCGACTTCATGCTTGTAATTTCACTTTAAGAAACTAACAGAAGTGTGTATTATGCACTATTATTAAATTCAATTTAATACTTACCATAAAACAATTTTGAAAATTAAACTTACTCCCTACAAGTTATGAAGCAGATAACATTAAATTAGGAACATAATTTCTTGAAAAACATGTATAAGTGTATTTTACACTAATAACAGTCACTATTTTAGAGATTTAATGATTATTATTTAACTTATTTGATATTTATTTAAACACAGTCAACTACTATTATAATCACAATGTAAGAATATTTTGCAGATTAAAATAACTGATTTGTAAACATATAATTTATTTCCTTGGTTTTTTTGAAAGATACTAGAATAATAAACTGTACAATAAAAGATACAAAACATTTGTGCTTTTTTTAAATCTGAAATCTTTTCAGGTATTTTAACATCTAATTTATTTATGTCTATTTCCTTTTCTTTAACTATTCTTCTAAGTTTATTTGCTTTGATAAACAAATCAATGTTCCTGCTGGTCTCAACTTCATCTGCTAAAGCATCTACTTCTTCATTAATATCTTTAATGTCCCTTTGAAGAAATTTTTTCTTCTGCTTCATATAATCAATTTCTTCCTCAATAATATTTCTTTTCCTCTTTGAATTTTCAGATTTAGTTAAAGATTTTTGTTCTTCTAAATACTGCATATATTTAGACCTCGCAGAAGCTGCTGCTGATCTCATTTCTTTATTAATTTCGATATTACGAACACCTCCAGAAAATTTTATGTAATCAAATACTGTGCATTGAAAAATGTATGATGAGTCACTTAAATTTTCAATTTCAATTGCTTTATTTACAGAGAAGCCCCTTTCCACAGAGGCCTGTCCATGTGACAAGATAAGAATCATTTTCACTATTTTCCATAGCTTTGAATAGTGAAAATCATGAAAATAAGAAGTGAGAAATGTGTCAAGAGAAAGATTTTGAGGATTAAAAGTAGAAAATTCATGTAAATTTGTCTTAACTACTTTGTTTAGAAACTCTCCAAACTGCAGCAGAATTTCATCACAATCATCTTGTGAAACACGTTTATTCCGCATTAATACCGTTAGAACTAGTTTCATTTTGTTCTGGGTTTTTTCGGACTTTTAACCATCAATCGCGGGTCTATACAAGATGCATTTCGAATAAGAGAATAATTTATTGGACATTTAGACATTAAGTGTTGTACCATTGTTGACCTTCTTGTTTCAATGCAAAACTTTCAGCTTGTGAAATGTCCTTCTTGCGGCATTTATCATTCATTAACTGCTCAGCAATGAATCCCAAATAAACTTTACTTTTATCATTATAACAATTTGGATCATTAAAATTAAATTTATAAAGATTTTCTGCTTTAGTTATTTTTGAATATTCTAGTTTCAAAATTTTAAAGCGCTGAAGGCAATCATTTACAAGTTTTAAGATATCTTCAGCAAAACAGGGAATAAGTGGTTTATCACTTTGATAATATTCAAGGAAAGACAATAATATTTTCGATAGAGAGGGGGAAAAAAAATTATAAGAAATGTTTTATCTTTAGTTGGCTCCAAAATATTTGAGAAGGATTTCGATGATTTTTTTTTAAAACTTCCCCATTTCAACTCCTTTTAATGTACAGTAGCAAGTCATCCCATATTTCAATGGCTCTTTCAACTGCTGGGACATTTTGCAACCATTGATAAAAGCAGAACTTCACAGGTAGCTTTTTTAAGCAAGATATACTTAAAAAATCTTCACGTCTTGCAGGAGAATCTTTAAAAATCCAATATAAGGAGGATAAGAATGATGGAATGTCCCAGCCAATGGATGACATCCCATGCTTGAAAGCATTGTTAAGAATGTGTAAACCGCATGTCCCTAATGTCAAGCACTGAATGTTATATTCCTTTGTCAAGTCCTGTTGCAATAAATCATAAAATTTCCAGTTTACTGCAGGACCATCCATCGATATTTGTAAGAGTTATTGACAAGTCTAGTTTTTCAACACATTCATAATATTTGGATAAAATAATTTCACTTGTTGCATGCCCTATAAATGCAGAAGTAAGGTACTGAGTTCTGACCTTATTTTCGTGATGCCAGTACCTCACATGAAATATCTAGTTGCTTCTTTTGATTTGTCAGATTAAGAGTCTCATCAAATAGTAATGTAAAAAACTCAGCATTTTTACAATGCTTTAGTAACAAAGTTTTTTAAAATAAGGGCCAAGACCAAAATAACAGATATAAGCACATTTCTTTTCACCACATGAAAACTGTTTTGCAATGGAACTATCCGGGAACATTTTAGTGAATAACGGCCCAATATCATCGCACGATTTAAAAGAATAGTGGCTTTTGATGCACTTAAAAGCCCACAATATTTCTGCATCTGTAACTTCAGATTTGAAAAGAAAAGAATTGATTTTATTATTTTCTACACTTATTGATGTTGAATTAGCAGTTACATCTTTTCCTGAAGTAGATGGTTCTTCTAACTTGACAAAATTCATGATACTGTTAGAAGAAACTCTGCAGTTGAGAAGGGAGAGATGTTTTGCACCTAAAACATTACATGCAAGGCATTAGTAAAATTAAGTATCGCATATATATGTATATAATGTATATATATATATATATATATATATAATAAGAAATGTATACTGAAATGAAAATATACATTTTTACTAAATATATATGTGTATATATATATTATACAGTACAAAGTCCGAGATCCGGACATCCAATATCTGGAATGATCTAAAATCCGGACCTCAAAGCCACCACCAACCAATTTTTTAGGGCTTTTTTGGAGGGAAGGGGTATGCTTTACGCATGCGCATTAGATTTTTTTCCTCATCATAAAAAAAAACATGCTGGAAATCCCGATTCTTAATCTCAGTTTGGCGCTAAATAAAATATCTCATTATTGAATAATTATTTTAGCATAAATTTGTGTGATTAGTAACTTGACTCCATAGCTGCATATCTGCTTGGCATAATCTCAAACCGAAACATTTGTTAATTTTACACCAACTAATATTTTATATCCTTGATGCCGAAATCGCGAATCATTATTTATTGTATTTTGCTTTCATCACCGCATGTTTATCAACGGATGACAACTTGAGTGATGACTCATGCAGCGACGCCAAATAATAGA